TACTGAAAGAAGAAGTCCAAGCTACACTGAAGACACTGGTGAAAAACAAGGCTCCAGGAATTGATGGAATACCAATTGAGATGTTTCAATAAACAGATGCAGCGCTGGAAGTGCTCACTCGTCTATGCCCAGAAATTTGGAAGACAGCTACCTGGCCAACCGACTGGAAGACATCCATATTTATGCCTATTCCAAAGAAAGGTGATCCAACCAAATGTGGAAATTATCGAACAATATCATTAATATCACATGCAAGTACAATTTTGCTGAAGATCATTCAAAAGCACTTGCAGCAGTACATCAACAGGGAACTGCTAGAAGTTCAAGCTGAATTCAGAAGAGTACGTGGAACAAGGGATATCGTTGCTGATGTCAGATGGATCCTGGTTGAAAGCAAAGAATACCAAAAAGATGTTTACCTGTGTTTTATTGACTATGCAATGGCATTTGACTGTGTGGATCATAACAAATGATGGATAACACTGTGAAGAATGGTAATTCCAGAACACTTAATTGTGCCCATGAGCAACCTGTAGGTAGATCAAGAGGCAGTCATTCAAACAGAACAAGAGGATACTGTGTGGTTTAAAGTCAGGAAAGGTTTGTGTCAGGGTTGTATCCTTTCACCTCATTACTCAATCTGTATGCTGAGCAGATAATATGAGAGGCTGGACTATATGAAGAAGAATGGGGCATCAGGATTGGAGGAAGAATCATTAACAACCTGCAATATGAAGATGATACAACCTTGCTTGCTGAAACTGAAGAGGACTTGAAACACTTACTGATGAAGATCAAAGACTACAGCCTTCAGTATGGATTACACCTCAACATAAAGAAAACAAAAATCCTCACAACTGGACCAATAAGCAACATCATCATAAATGGAGAAAAGAGTGAACTTGTCAAGGATTTCATTTTACTTGGATCCATAATCAACGGCCACGGAAGCAGCAGTCAGGAAATAAAACGACGCATGGTACTGGGCAAATTTGCAGCAAAAGACGTCACTTTGAGGACTAAGGTGCGCCTGACCCAAGCCATGGTGTTTTCAATCACCTGATATATGCATGTGAAAGTTGGAGAATGAATAAGGAAGACCAGAGAAGCACTGACTCCTTTGAGTTATGGTGTTGGCGAAGAATGTTGAATATATCATGGACTGCCAAAAGAATGAATAAATCGGTCTTGGAAAAAGTACAGCCAGAACGCTCCTTAGAAGCAAGGATGGCGAGACTTCATCTCACATACTTTGGGCATGTTATCAGGACGGATTAGTCCCTGAAGGACATCACAGTGGGTAAAGTAGAGGGTCAGCGAAAAAGAGGAAGACCCTTAGCAAGATGGATTGACACAGTGGCTGCAACAATGGGCTCAAGCATAACAATGATCCTGAAGATGGCATAGGACCAGGCAGTGTTTCGTTCTGTTGTACATAAGGTCACTGTGAGTCAGAACTGACTCGACAGCACCTGTGATGGTTAAGATTGTGTGTCAACTTGGCTGGGCCATGATTCTCAGTGTTTATATGTGATCACCCCCATGATGGGATCTGCTGTGAGTAGCCAATCATCTGAAAGGGTGTTTCCTTGGGTGTGTGGCCTGCATCCGAATATAAGTGGACATTCTGGCTTTTGCCTGCTCTGGATCCTGCAGTTGCCTCCTGTTCATCTGACCTCCAGTTCTTGGGACTTGAGCTAGCAGCTTACCTGCCAATCTTGGGATTCGTCCATCTTCATAGCCTGTGAGCAAGAGCCCTGCTCTCCAACCTGCAGATCTTGGGTTTGCCAGTCCCTGCAGACAAATGAATCAGGAGAAGCCTTGTGGTCTTGCCTGCTGATCTTGGAATTCGTCGATTTTCACAGTCTGTGAACAAGAGCCCTGCTCTCCAACCTGCAGATCTTGGGTTTGTCAGCCCGTGCAGCTACGTGAATCAGGCAAAGTCTCTATCCTGATCCACTGACTTAGGATGTTCCAGCCTCTACAATCACGTGAGCCATTTCCTTGATATAAATCTCTCTCTCTGTATATACAGATACGCTTTACTGATTTTGCTTCTCTAGAGAACCCAGCCTAAGACAGCACCTAACAACAACAGGACTAATTTATGCTATTTATATATTTCTTTTGGTTTCATTTTATCTCAACACATCAAATTTTTGGTGTTTGCCCAGTTAAACTCTCATCTGAAAATTACCCATTCGATTTTTATTTTTATGCTCACTTACTCCAACTTAAGACCATAATTATATGGTCTAACAAGCTTTATCGAAATCTATATCCTTCTCTTGAACAAGAATAAGAGAATCATAGGATCCTCTGCTTTTCCTTTTGCTCATTCTCCCTCAACTACCTCTTATGTAGGTATAATTGTAATTTTAGTTCCAGTTTGTAATGATAAATATACATTATTTTTTTAGAGAACAAAAACAAAAACTAATGCTGAAAATATATTTTAAGAAAATGCTAACATACTGATAGAAAATGCAAAGAATACTTGGAAAAAAGTACACATATACCCTATTTTTAGTAGGAAAGGTGAATTATCATAAATAGACAAATGGCCTTAAAATAAAAATTTAATGCAAGTGCACTGGTAACAAGAAGAATTTTTTTTTCTCTCCCAGTTTACAGTTCAAGTTAACTTCTCATTCAAAAATTTATACACATACTGTTTTGTGACATTAGTTGCAATCCCCACAATGTGACAGCACACTCCCCCTTTCCAACTCAGGTTCCCTTGTCCATTCGACCAGTTCCTGTCCCTTCCTGCCTTCTCATCCTGCTTTTGGACAGGAGCTGCCCATTTGATCTTGTATATCTGACTGAACTAAGAAGCACATTCCTCACATGTATTATTTTTTGTTTTATATTCCCGTCTAATCTCTGTCTGAAGAGGGGGCTTCGGGAATAGTTTCAGTTCTGGGTTATCAGTGCATCCTGGGGCCATAGTTTCAGGGGTTCCTCCAGTCTCTGTCAGACCATTAAGTCTGGTCTTTTTATGTGAATTTGAGTTCTGTTCTACATTTTTCTCCTGCTCTGTCCGGGACTTTCTGTTGTGTTCTCTGTCAGGGTGGGCACTGGTGGTAGCCGGGCACCATCTAGTTCTTCTGGTTTCAGGCTGGTGGAGTCTCTGGTTCATTTCGTCCTTTAGTCCTCTGGGCTAGTATTTTCCTTATGTCTTTGGTTTTCTTCATTTTACTTTGCTCCGAGTGAGATGGGACCAATTGATGTATCTTAGATGGCCGTTCACAAGCTTTTAAGACCCCAGATGCCACTCACCAAAGTGAGATGTAGAACATTTTCTTTATAAACGATGTTATGCCAATTGACCTAGATGTTCCCTGAAACTATGGACTTTTTTTTTTTAATTTGGTAAGGTGATTATAAACTTTGTACAGAAAGTAAAACAAGAAAACAGTAAAATTTCTGAAAGAGAAAGGTAATCAGAGACTTAGCACTACCAACAATTATACTAAACTATAATATAGAGAAATCAGAATAATAAAGATTATGACTATTAGATCAATGGAACAGACTAAGGTTCAGAAATACATCCAGAGTTATATATTAGAAGGTATCTATATGCTAATGTAGTATTCCAAGTTAGGATGTGCTCCCACAAAATGAGGGAGTAAATCAAGAAAGAAGACGACACAGGATCATGGAAACAGTATCTGACATAAGACGGAGGTAAAGGGAATTTCCTGGGAGATGGTGAAGGAAAGACACAAGGTAATAGCTGTGTGTCACGCCAAGAGGGCAACCAGTCCAGACTTCGGCAAGTAAACAAGCTCCAGGAGAGATTTCTTCTAGAAGACATTGATGCCCAGGGTCGAGACCAGCCCCCCCATTACTAGCTGTATGAACTCGGGCCAGTTAATTCTTCTCTATGTTCCAGTCTTCCCCTCTATTAGAATAATAATGGTACCTACTTCACAAGGTTGTTGTGAAGATGAGTTAATATACGTAGAGTGGGTATAACAGTACCAGGCACATAGTAAACATACGAGTATTTGCAATTATTATTGCTATGATTATTATGTAATATATTCGAATATATGAACAGAAGATTTAAACACCTGGGAAGAATTAAGAGTTGAATTAATGACATATATATCTAGATGATAGATAGATGTAGATATAGATATACAGTAAAATAAACCAGAAAATTATTAATTCCAGGAGAAAAACTTGTGCAGAGACAGTAATCATAGCATGGATACTACATAGATCAACTTTAAATACAGATTCATAATCACAATAAAAACATTGACCATGAATCTGACCAAAGCTGATATACCTATCTTAGGAGCATGAGGTTACAGAGAACATTTATGTGAGAGGGTTATATGGAATGGCTAAATTTCCATCTTCAGTAGTGGAAAGTCAGTAGATAATGCTCAAAACTAAAAAAGAAAAAAGAACCTGTTTTAAAAGATTAAGAGTTATTAGCAGACCCTAGGTAGCACAAATGATTAAGTACTCAAGTCCACCCAGTGGCACCTCAGAAGAAAGACCTGGCGATCTACTTCCAAAAGATCACAGCCATTGAAATGGGGAAAATAAGAGGAGCTGGAATCTGGGGTGGGGTGAGGAACAACACAGAGAAGAGCCTTTTTTCTGTAACAAGACTTGGGGATCTATTTGACACCTTTTACCACTGGTAGCTAAAACTAAAAACTAGTTATAAGTTACAAAGTGGCAAAAAATATTCACAAAAACATACAAAATGATAAAAGGTTATTAACTTTAATATTAAAAAGACCTCTTTAAAATATATAAGCTAAAACAAACAAATAGATAAATAAATCACCAATAGATAGGAGAAGGAAATTCATGATAGGGAATTAAATGATCAATAAAAGTGTGGGGGCAAAATTATCCTGCCTGGTAAACAAAGTAATACAAATTAAAACAATAGTGAGATACTATCTTTCATTCATGCTCTGAAGCTCTGAATGAAATCCTGCCCCTGGGCTTCTCTTCCTCCTCCTCACCTCACAGGAGTTACCATGTCCCCCCGAAGATGGGGCCAGGGATCTCCGGGTTGAATGTCTGTGAACTGGCATGTTCACGCTGGACCTCAGCCTTCAATCTCTCTTGCTGACAATGCCACTCTTCCCAGGAGCCCAAAGCCTGGTGGGGGTCTCTGGACTCAACTGGAGGTGCTGGGGTCAGAAAGAAGATCCTGTAGCCTTCACTAAGGAATCTATTCCAGGGCTTCCACAGAGTCTCCAAGAAACCTGGAAAGACAATGTCCACATGGTCAGAGTCATTCAACATTTGCCCCACAAACATTTCCTGGTAGCACCAAAGTACAGTTCACTGAACTGGATACTGTGGAGCAGACAAAGTTCAGTAAAAATTTTTTCTAGTTATTAGTAAAAATAGAATATGTACAACTTAACAGCAAAATGACTAACAACCCAATCAAAAAATGGGCAGAAAACTTGAACAGACATTTCACCAAAGAGGATATTCAAATGGGCAACAAGCACAAGAAAAGATGCTCAAGATGAGCAATTAAAACCCATTGCTGTCGAGTCGATTCCGACTCATAGAGACCCTATAGGACAGAGTAGAACTGCCCCATAGGGTTTCCAAGGAGCACCTGATGGATTTGAACTGCCGACCTTTTGGTTAGCAGCCGCACCTCTTAACCACTACGCCACCAGGGTTTCCAGATTAGCCATTAGGGAGATGCAAATAAAAACCACAATGAGATATCATCTCACCCCCACTACAATGGCAATGATTAAAAAAAACAGAAAACAGGTGTTGGCGAGGTTCTGGAAAAACTGGAATCTGCATCCATTCCTGGTGGGAATATAAAATGGTACAGCCACTGTGGAAAATAATTTCCTCAAAAAGTTGAACGTGGAACTACCATAAACCAAAAAAACCCATTGCTGTTGAGTCAATTCTGACTCATAGAAACCCTATAGGACAGAGCAGAACTGCCTCATAGGCTTTCCGAGGAGCAGCTAGATTTGAACTGCTGACCATTTGGTTAGCAGTTGAGCTCTTTAACCACTGCACCAACAGGGCCCCTAGAACTACCATATGACCCAGCGATTCCAATCCTGGTATATACTCAGAAGAAGTGAAGGCAGGAACACAAACAGATACCTGCACACCAATGTTCATTGCAACACTTTTCACAACAGCCAAAATGTGGAAACAACCAAAAAGTTCATCAATAGATGAATGTATAAATAAAATGGAATACTACTCAGCCATAAAAAAGAATGAAGTACTGAGGCATGCCACAGCGTGAACCTTGAAAACATGCTGAGCAAAATAAGTTACTCACAAAATGACAAATACTATATAATCTCACTTATATGAAATAAGCAAACATATATGCATTAAACCCATTGCCGTCGAGTTGATTCTGACTCATAGTGACTGTCTTAGTCATCTAGTGCTGCTATAACAGAAACACCAAAAGTGGATGGCTTTAGCAAAGAGAAGTTTATTCTCTCACAGTCCAATAGGCTACAAGTCCAAATTCAGGGCGTCAGCTCCAGAGGAATGCTTTCTCCATCGGCTCTGGAGGAAGGTCTGTGTTATCAATCTTCCTTTGGTCTGGGATCTTCTCTGCGCAGGAACCTCAGGTCCAAAGCACACGCTCTGCTCCTGGCACTGCTTTCTTGGTGGTATGAGGTTTCCATGTCTCTGCTCACTTATTATATCTCAAAAGAGATCTTGTAGACTTCATCAGTTTAACTGACACAATTCAATCCATGACATTCCACCCTTTGGCCCTCAAAAATTCATGTCGGTGCCACATGTAAAACATATTCACCCCATCATATCATAGCAAAAGTCTTAAATCAACTCCAAGTCCAAAATCCAAGAATTCCTCTTCATCTGTGAAATCTAGAATACAAGTTGTTATCTGCTTCCAAAGGTACAACGGCAGAATGGGCACAAACTAGACATTTCCATTAAAAAGGGGAGAAACTGGAGGGAAAGAAGGGATTAGGCACAAAGCAGGTCAGCCGAACACATTACATTAGCTCTCAAGGCTTGAAAATAATCCTTTGTTTTCTGAGATGGTTCACACAATAGCCCTGCCCCCCAGACTCTAGGTTTTGGCCACAGTCTCCAGATTCCGAGTGGAGGCCCCTCAGCCCTGTGTTTCAGCTTCGCCTTCCAGGTCCACTGGGACAATTCTGTTCCTTTGGCTTTAGGCGCACCATTCTCCTAGTCCACTGGAGTGACAACTCCACCCTTAGAAACACCAGAGGCCATGGCTCCACCCTTTGAAATCCCAGAGGTCATAGTCATACCTTTTGAGACTGACACAGCTCAGCTTTTTGTGTTCCTTGTCTCTTCAGCTTCTGCTTCCTGCAGCCTCTCAGCCCTCGGGCCTCATGTCCACATCTGCCCTGCTGGGGCAAGTGTTCCAAAGCTCTGTAGCTCCACCGATTAAGTGCCTGGAGGCACCCCACTCCACCAGGAAGCCTCCTGGGCACAGGCACTCAGCTCTCTTGCTCTGTGGTTCAGCAAGCCTAGCTCCACCGATGAGTGCTCGGAGGCACCCCACTCTGCCAGGAAGCCTCCTGCGCACAGGCACTCAGCTCTCTTGCTCCGTGGGTCGGCTCCAGTGCCGTCTCGCACCGGTCTCCTGGTTCTGCTGCTGCAGGTTCTCTGCTGCTGCCGCTTCTCTGATGCTGCAGGTTCTCTGCTGCTGCTAGTCCTCTGCCGCTTCCGCTCCTCTATCCATTCACAGTTTCAAAGCCGCTTCCACATTTTAGTTATCTGTTAGAACTGCTTCCACATTTTAGGTATCTGTTACTGCAGCACCCCTCTCTTGGTGCCAAATTTGTCTTAGTCATCCAGTGCTGCTATAACAGAAATACAAGTGGATGGCTTTAGCAAAGAGAAGTTTATTCTCTCACAATCCAGTAGGCTACAAGTCCAAATTCAGAGCGTCAGCTCCAGGGGAACGCTTTCTCTGTCAGCTCTGGAGGAAGGTCCATGTTATCAATCTTCCTTTGGTCTGGGAGCTTCTCTGTGTAGGAACCTCAGGTCCAAAGGACACACTCTGCTCCTGGCACTGCTTTCTTTGTGGTATGAGGTTCCCATGTCTCTCTGCTTACTTTTCTTTTTTATATCTCAAAAAATATTGGCTTAAGACACTATCCAATCTTATAGACATCAACAGCATAACTGCCACTAATCCATCTTATTACATCATAGTGATAGAGTTTACAACACATAAGGAAATCACATCAGATTACAAAATGGTACACGATCATACGATACTGGGATCATGGCCCAGCCAAGCTGACAGATATTTTGGGGGGATACAATTCAATCCATGACAGTGACCCTATAGGACAGAGTAGAACTGCCCCATAAGGTTTTCTAGGTTGTAATCTTTATGGAAGCAGACTGCCACATCTTTCTCCTGTGGAGCAGCTGGTGGGTTCGAATGAATGACCTTTCAGTTAGCAGCTGAGCGATTACCACTGCACCACCACGGGTCCCCAAGCAAATATACAGAAACCAAAAATTTTTAGTGATTACCAAGGATGGGAGGGAGGGAAAAAAGTGAGTTTGCTTAGGGGGCACTAAGTTTATGTTAATAGTGGTGAAATAATTTGGTAAAGGATAGCAAGAACCTGAAAAATGTAATCAATGTCACTGAATTATATACACAGAAATTAATGAATTAGTGTATGCTTTGTTGTGTATATTTTCACCACAATAAAAAAGGGAAAGAAATAGAATATGAGTGTGAGCTTGAGACTTGGACTAAAATTATAAGGGTTTGAATCCTAGCTCCATCAACTTTTTTTTTTATTGTACTTCAGGTGAAGATTTACAAAACATATAGTTTCTCATGAAACAGTAGTACACATATTGTTTTATGACACTGGTTAACAACCCCACGACATGTCAACCCTCTCCCTTCTTGACTTTTTTTTTTTTGGTGAAAATATACATAGCCAAAGATACACCATTTCAAAAATTTCTATGTGCAAAGTTCAGTGACATCGACTACGCTCTTCCAATGGTGCCGCTATTCTCACTTTAGATGAAGGTTTACAGAACAAAATAGTTTCTCAGTAAACAGTACACGTTGCCCTATGACAATGGTTAACAACCTCACTACACATCAACACTGTCCTTACTCAACCTTGGGTTCCCTATCACCAGCTTTCCTGTCCGCTTCTGCCTTCTAGTCCTTGTCCCTGGACTGCTGTGCCTCA